GACCCGGCATCCAGGCATGTGCCCTGACAGGGAATGGAACGGGTGACCTTTTGGTTTGCAGGCTGGCACTCAATCCACTGAGCCACACCAGCCAGGGTGGGTTTTACGTTTTTAAATGGCTAAAAAGCAAATCAGAAGAAGACTTTGTGACACATGACAAGGATGTGAAATTCAAATCTCAGTGAAATTCTAATAAAGTTTTATTGGAACACAGCCACGTTCATTTACTTACGCATTGCTCTGGCTGCATTTGGCTGCAGTGCCAGAGCTGAGTAGCTGCAACAGAGACTGTGATACAGAAGTACCTGCATGATGCCCTTAATTTTGCCTCTTGGTCCACAGAGGTTCAAATATCTACTATTTGCCCCACTATAGAAAAAGTTCGCTAAACTCTGGATTAGGGGATTACTGTATTTTGGCACATATAATGTGCACTTTTGGGGGCCAAAGTTTTGAGGAAAAAACAAAGATGCACATTATACATGGGTATAATGATTGCATACCATGGGTATAATAATCCCGGGTATAATGCACACAGAAACTTGTGTGCGCATCATACATGGCAAAATATGGTGTTTGACCATCTCAGGCAAGAGGCCTGCACTGGGGTAGTGACAGCGGCATGGAGAACCCTGGATGAATTTGGGAACGATTCAGGGGGCAGACTGACTGGGCACAGGGGTGAACGGAGGAGACTCAGAGATGATGCCCAGATTTCTGCACTGAGAACTGTTATCGGGGTGGGAGAAAGACCAGTGAAGCCAAGAAGGAGAGTGTGGAGCTGGGCAGCAGGGAAGTGCAGGGGCTGGGAGGGAAGAGTGAGAAGAGTTTTGAGGCCTCCTCTGTATGACAGTCTGATTCCTGGAGCTCGGCTGGTTGTGTGTGTTATCTGCTATGCTGAGAACACCTCCGATTCTTTAGGACCCGAGGCTGGTGTGGGGCACCTGGCCTTCAAGAGCTTTGGTGCTGTAAAGGCAAGTAGGTGCCCACCAGTATTTCCTGTTAGGTCAGCATCTGTCAAATGGGAGCCAGGTTTCAAAAAGTGAAACCAGGGATCTCCAAAGCCTGGGAAGCACCTGAAGAATGTGGGGCTGTCCCTAGGTGTGGAGCCTCCCCTCATCTATCGCCTAGCTGTCTGGCGAGGTCGGCCTCCTGGGGAGACGGAGGGCCCTGCCTCTGCATGTTTAGAGCAGCAGCCAAGCGGGCTGATCCTTTGGGGACCTTGGTTCCTGCTGAGGTGTGGGGACGGGAGCCGAGGTGGCCAAGACCCATGGGGTCCTATGGTCCTGTTCTCCGGGAAGCAGCCCAGGCCTGGAAGGACTATTCCCTTGATTGCCCGCAGATGGCGCTAAAGCGACAGGCTGTGAATGGAAGTGGGGGCTGGGGGGTTGGTGGGGCAGGCAGAGGACAGAGCATCCTAACTGGCGGTCTCCCTCTAAGCCTGCTCCTACCTGCTAGGGAACGGGGTGGTGTTTACAAAGCTGCCTTAATCTTTCCCATACTCCTGTTGAGGCACGAAAGGGCCCTTATTTCTGTGGCCAAGAAGGACTTCTTCAGGGTGGGAGTTTGTGTGCAGTTTTGGGGGTAAAATCATGGCATGTCCAGCCACCCTCCGCTATCCGGTTGAAGCCATTTCCCCCATCTTCTGGCAGCTGGATCTGCAGGGCCAAGACCCCCTCTCCGGGAGGCTCTCTGGACCGCACGCTCTCCATCACCCAGGCTTGCTCCCCAGACTCCTGTCTCCAAGCCGTTTCTTCCCCCTGCGCTGTGGTGGGAGGGTTAGTGTTAGGTTGGCGGGGGTGGGGTGGGGGGTGGTACTCTGGGCTGTTCAAAGCCTAGGCTGGAGAAGGGCGGAGGGATGTGCTCCGTGGATTCTGGCCTTTACCTGTGAGCAGCCTGGTCTCATGATGACACCGCTCATGGAGTCATCGCGGTACTTTCTCGACAGTCTCCCTCATCTTCTTAAACTCTTCTGCGAGGGGCTCGTTCCCCTTTCAGAGAGGAGGACACTGAAAATCAGAGTTGGCTAGGGTTGTGTGGGGAGAGGGCACAAGCAGGCGGGACCTGCGCCCGGGACAAGGGACGGGTGTGACCCGCCAGCCCAGTTCCTGATTCGGAGACTAGCTTTGGCCTCCCTACTTCCGGTCCCCAGCGGCGCCGGCCAGTGGGATCCCCACGCCTCTGTTCTCCCGACACTGCTCGGCCTGCTCAGTCTCCATGCCGCCCAGGACCAGCTCCTTCAACTCAGAGCAGGGCACTGAGCCCTAAAGGGGGCTCAGGACGAAGTGGAAGCAGTAGCAAGGGAGGCACCTCCCCGGGTCTGGAACTGACAACCCAGGGAGCTGTGCTGGTGGTAGAGGGGGTGGGGTTCCTGTCTTAAAGTCACAGTCCGCAGTGCTGTGCTCCTGCCAGTCCCTGGCCCGCCTGTTCTGTACACCTATTCTGCGGACTGCCCCTGCCCATAGTGCTGGAAGCTTCCTTGTCAAGGGATTCTGGGAGTCCAGCCCTGGCTGGTGTGGATCAGTGGACTGAGTGCTTGCCTGCAAACCCAAGGGTCCCTTCCCAGTCAGGGCACATGCCTAGGCCTGGGACCAGGTCTCCAGTAGGGGGCGCTTCTCTCCCTCTTTCTCCTTCCCTTCCTCTGCCTGTAAAAATAAATTAAAAAGAAAAAAAGGATTCTGGGAGTCCTGACAGCTGTGTGTGGTGAATGTCCACTCCCTCTCTCTGCAGGGTATGAGCCCCACCCAGGACCTTGTACCTCTGGGCCAGTGTTTCTCAAACTTTAGCCTGCATCCCCATCGCCCGAGGGCTTGCTGAAACTCAGGGCTGGGCTCTACCCCTGGAGTTCCAGCTCAGTAAATCTGGAGTGGTGCTGAGGACTTCCACCTGTAGCAAGTTCCCGGGTGATACCTATACTACTGGTTAGGACCAGTGCGCGCTGCAGGACTCGCTGAGTAGGTCTACGCTATCCAAACCTTACATGTTCCAGAAAGCAGTTGGCCCTGCCTGGCTCCTGGGAGGCAGCTCCTAAGCCCTTGGACTATCCTGTCTGACAAGACAGTCCCTGCTGACCTGGGGACCCTAAGCCATGCCAGATTGTCTATGCTAATGACATGATTTACAGTGGGGGCATTGGGCCACGCGGTCACAAGTGTAACCTTTGCAGGGGCCAGAGACTATGTCCCTGTGGTTGGCTGCACCTGCATGAGTGGCCTCCAGTAAAACACCTGGACACCAAGGCTCGGGCAAGCTCTCCAGGTTGGCGGCACTTCGGGCATGCTGTCCCTTGCTTGGCATAGCTGAGAGAATTGAGTGCTGTCCCGTGACCCCACTAGAAGCTCGCATCTGCTCTCTGCCAGACCCTGCTCTCAGTGCCTTTATCCTTTGCTGATTTTAATTTGTACCCTTTCACTGCAATAAACCATAACCATGAGCTTGCTTGCGTTCCGTGTGTCCTCCCAGTGACTCACGGAACCTAAGTAAGGGTGGTCTGGAGGACCACTGCTGCCCCGGAGCCCGGGTGTTGCTTTGTGGGGTAAGCTTGAACAGTCCTCCTGGGTCTCTGGGCCTCAGTCTCCCCATCTGCAAATGGGGCTCTGGACCAGTTTTGGCCTCGCTGGGTGTGACAGGGCCCCCAGAAGAGCCACAGATGGCGAAGCTGATAGAGAATATGCTGGCTTAGGGGCAGGGGCAGTTTATTTAGCTTAGCTTCTCTCTTTCCAGTTGCCGGGTCTGCCCCTTACGGCCCTTCTCACCTGAGCCGGGAGCACTGGGCTGCTGGGGTCCACAGGTTTCAGTAGACCCAGCCACTCAGTGCTGCCCCTCCTGGGGCCACTGTCAGGGCAGTGACCCACATTCCATGGTGCTTGGGCCTGCCCTGCCCCATCCTGCCCTGGCTTAAGACCAGGTCCTTGGTCCAACACAGGGAGGAAGGGTCCTTAGCATCCGCTGATTATGTGGCTTTATTCACAGACTCAGCACTTGCTGAGGATGGAAGGAATGAATATTTGGGGCCAGGCTGGGCCCGGAGGTAAGGGTGGCTGGGAGGCCATGCATGGGTGGGACCGGAAAGTTCGCAGGAGAGAACCTGTTGGCCCGGCCAGGCCTGTGGGGGGCAGGCCAGACGCACACAGCATGCAGGAGGCCTGGCAGGGTCTGCACGGGGCAAACCTATCCAGGTGGCGGCTGGGAGCCGGGGAGGGACTGAGGGCTTCTCTCGGGCAGGGCACACAGGTGTGAGGCTGGAGAGCAGGCATCCCTGCCCCTCACTCCAGGGAAACGACACAGTGGGACAGTCAGGACACCTGGGGTCTGGTCCTGCTGCTGCCTCAAGGCTTCATGTGTGACTACCAAGATGGTCCCCCTGGTGCCATTGTCCTGCTGATGCTTGGACATTTGCCGTGGGGGCGACCCACATAGGGACGCTCTGAGGACATTGGTAGGGAGGCTGGACAGTCCTGGAGAGTGTGCCTAGGGCCCAGCTGAGTGGGCTGTGCCTGAGGCGGGAGGAGATCCCCAGCCAGGGGCTGGTCCCTTTGAGCCAAGCTTTTCTCTCAACCTTTGGTGCCAGTTCCTTGCTGGGGCTCCAGGGGGCGCCATTTCCACCCCAATCCAGGCCATCCAGGAGGCCAGCGTTGACAGTATTGGTAAACCCTCTTTCCCCAGGCCGCCCTGCTGGCTCCCGACAGACTTCCTGCCTAAAAGCAAACAAGGAATCCAAAGACCAGATCCTCCTCCCGGGCCTTCTTTCTGGTGAAGAGCCCATTCCCACCCGGCAGGGAACAGAAAAACCAGTTCCCCAGGTTCGCTCCCTGCCTGGGAATAGCAAAGTGTAGAAAGTTGGCAGGGTCTCTCTGGGCTCCCAAGGAAGGTGACCTCGGGGCCTGGGAAGCCCGGAGAGGCCTGAGCAGTGCCCAGGGTCTGAGGTCACAGCCCCTGCCCGTGTACTGGGCTCTGGGCTCTCCCGGGGACGAGGGGGGAGGGGGAAGGGTGAGGGGCCATCAGCACTGGCGGGAGGGGGTGCGGTGCACGGAGCCGGGGCGCTTGGGGATCTTGCGCCAGCGCCGCTTGTCCCAGCGGCAGAGCAGCAGCAGGCGGAAGGTGTCCCGGAAGGCCTTGTTGCAGAGGGCGTAGCACATGGGGTTGACCGTGCTGTTGACGTAGCAGAGCCAGTAGCCCAGCTCCCACAGGGTCTCGGGGACGCAGTCCTTGCAGAAAGTGGACACCAGCACCATGATGTTGTATGGTGTCCAGGTGAGGATGAAGGCCAGCAGGATGGCGCTCAGGGTCCGAGCTGCCTTCTTCTCCTTGACCAGCGAGAAGGTCTTCCGCTTGGCCAGCTGCTCCTTCCCGCGGGGCTTCTGGCTCTTGCCCGTTCTCTCACGCCCCTTCCGAGTCGGCCTCTTGACGGTGTTCGGGGAGCTCCGCGGGGGCTGCTTGGCGGGGGCCTGCGCCTCCGGGTCCACCATGGGCATCTTGATCACCACCTCGGAGCCGGGCTCCTCGCCCTCAGAGGACGTGAGGGACTCCATGGAGCCTTCATCCTCCTCCTCCTCCTCCTTCCAGCTGTAGGCCTGCAGCAACCGGGGGGCCCGGCAGCAGCGACAGCAGCGCCCGGGAGGGGTGTCCGCTGAGCCCTCAGCCCCTGGCTGGGACCGTTCCGAGCTGCTGCTGCTGCCGCCCCCCTTACCTGCCGTCTCGGAGCCCTGCAGAGCCGCCAGCTCCCGGGCCCGGTTCTCAGTCTCCCGGTAGATGCGCCAGTAGAGTATGCACATGACCGTGACGGGGAGGTAGAAGGCGGCCATGGCCGTGCCGAAGGTGATGATGGGCTGGGAGAGGAACTGGATGTAGCACTGCCCGGCCAGCACTGTCCGCTCCCCCACCAGGTACTGCCAGAAGAGGATGGCAGGGGCCCAGAGGACGAAGGAAACCATCCAGGCCAGGCCGATCATCAGGGCCGCCCGGCGGGGCGTGCGCTTGGCACGGTAGCTCAGGGGTCGGGTCACGGAGAAGTAGCGGTCAAAGCTGATGAGCAGCAGGTTCATGACGGAGGCGTTGCTGGCCACGTAGTCCAGGGCCAGCCAGAGGTCACAGGCCAGCGTGCCCAGGGCCCAGTGGCCCATGAGCAGGTACGTGGTATAGAGGTTCATGGAGAAGGTGCCAATAATGAGGTCAGCGCAGGCCAGGCTGAGCAAGAAGTAGTTGTTGACTGTCTTGAGCTCTGTGTTGACCTTGAAGGAGATGAGTACCAGCAAGTTGCCTGTCACCGTGGCCAGTGACAGGAGGCCTGTGGTGATCCCAATGAAGGCTACTTGCCAGGGACCCTTTCCTGGCGCCAGGACGGTGATGTTGGGGCTGACGGCAGGTGGGGCCGAGGTATTCATGGCGGCCGGGCGGGGCCGAGGGTGCAGCCCCTTGTTCTAGTCTCACGACGGGGCTTCCTCAAGGGGAGGTCATCACCTGGAAAGAGAGGACGTGGACTTCGGTGGGGCCGCCGAGACCTTCCACTGCTTGGAGTGGCAGGTGTGGAGAACGCAGCCTCCACCCTCCCGGAGCTTCAGGCCAGAAGGCGTCCCCCTCCCTGACCGCTGGTCCCTTCCTGCTCTGGTGTCTGCACACGGTCATTTATAATGCATGTCCCCAGCCGTGAATGGGTTTGCTGGCAGCATGGGGGTGGGGCGGCTCTGGAATCCAGAGCTCCGAGTCCTCATTCCAGCTTCACCACTCAGACTCTGAGCCTCGATTTTCTCCTGGGGAAATTGCTGCTAATTCCTGTCTCGCCTAAGTCACACGGCAGAGCCAGGAGATGCGCTGTGTATACAGTGCTGCCAAATTCTCAAAGCGTTTCACTCAGTTTTATTACAGCCTCATTTACTGAGCAGTTACTACACACCAGACACAGGGCTAAGCACTTCACTGAGTTACCGAATCTAACTGTGGGACACCTCTCGGAGGAAGGTGTCTCAGGAGTCCTGCTTCACTGAGGCAACTGCGGCTGCAAGGCCTGGTCAGGGCCGCACAGGCGGGAGGAGGATTAGAACCCACTTCTCTTTGAGCATGTGCAGCTCCAGGGGGGTAATTCCATCAAATAAGGACACAGGAGAAGGCAGGGCATGCAGGGCTCCAGGGACGAGAACAGGCAAGAGATGAGGGAAGAGGGTGCTGTGTGTGAATGTGTGTCTGTGTGTCGGGGGGGGGGGGATACAGGGGCGGGGAGGGCAGTGTGGGGAGCTGCCTCTGAGCCTCTGTGACGGCAGCAGGGGGGGCTGGGCCGGGCCCAGACCTGCCTGGTGGCGGAAGGTCTCTGGTGACAGTCGGCAGCGGGGGCAGGGCACTAGCTCCCAGATAGGCGGGCCTGCGCCCCAGATGGGGTGTGGGAGGCCCCTCTCTCGCCCCACTCTGTTCCCGGGCTCCAGCTGTGGGGGGGGCAGCAAGGAGAACGGGAAGATCCCCCAGATTGTTCTCGAAACTGGAGTCCAGCCCAGGCACTGAGTGTGGGTAAAGGGAAGAGCAAGGACTCAGCAACTTCCCGGCCAGGCGGGCGGCTGTGTTTGGGCAGGTCCTCTCCTGCTCTGGGCCTCAGGCAGCTGCCTGTCCATTGAAGAGACTGGGGTCTCCTCCTACCTGCGGCTGTGGCTTCAGGGGCTGTATCCTTGGAAAAAGTCCAAGAAAGAGATTTTTGGCAGGGGCTGGCCAAGCCCTGGTGTTCTGGGAAACCCGGTCTGTGACAGAGACTAGACTGCCATGCCTGTGGGAGGGTGGCTGTGGGACAGGTGGCCCTGGGGGTGAGGCGGCTGTGAGCACACGTGACCCAGAGTGCGTGGGGCCGAGGGTCTCTCCACGGCTCTCAGGGAACTATCAGTGTGTGAGGGCAACTCTCAGCACGGAGAGGTCACAGTGGGACCCACGAGCGAGAAGGACCGCGGCTGCCAGTGCGCCGGGACAGCTCGCACACGAGGGGGCTCATTTAACATCCCGCGTGAAGGACCTGGACTCTGGAGCCGCACTGTCTGCATTCGAGTCCAGGCTGCCCCTTGCCCGGGTGGGCGATCTCCGCCGGGGACACCACTGCTCTGGGCCTCGGTTGCTGCAACTGAAAAATGGGCGTAGCACTTGTCCCTAACTCACAGATCAAGGAACTGCTGCGAGGCTTGAAGCAGCCGGTAGATGTGAGGTGCCCAGAACAGCCCTGGCACAGAGGCTCCCGTGACTCTTAGAGTGTGGGGCCCCGAGGGCTCCCTGCCGCCCGGGAACGCCTGACACTGTGACAGCGGCAGCAGGTACCAACCATCGCTGTTATTTGGCGCTTGCTGTGTGCCAGACGTGGCTCAAAATGCTCCTGTGCCTTATTGCAGTAATGGTAATGGGGAGCCTTGGAGCAAGGCGTTGCTCTTCTCCCCATTTTACGGATGAAGAAACTGAGGCTGAGAAAAGGAAGAGAATGTGCACAAGATACAGGAGTAAGGTAGGAAGCAGGGTTGGAGCCCAAGCCGCTCATGCCAGTGACACTTTATAAAAACTGGCGGTCGGCCCTGGGGGCCAGAGTTTGCCAGTTTGAAAATTTTAAAGTATTACACTGCAAAGTTATTTACTGGGCTTCCTGAGTTTTGTTGCATCCTCCTTCCTTAACCAGGGCCAGGTGCTGGAGGGGAGGCTGGGATGGGACGCCCCTGATGGGGCTGCCTGGTGAGGCGGCAGTGCGGGGGGACACCAGCTGTGACAGGGTGCCCCGCTCACCTCTGGTCCCTCTGATCTGAACCCATTGCACAACTGGAACAACTGAGGCGCAGAGAAAAGGGGGAAGGGGTCATTGTGTCACTCCAGGTGTCCTGGCTCCTGATTGGGTGCTGCCTACCCCCCAACGCCTAGGGGCCTCCAGGCAGCTCTGTGGCCCCCAGTAGCAACCTGGGCAGAACCGTGAAAAGGCCTATTCTGAGAGCAGCCTGCCGGCCCCGCTCCTTTGCTCCTTCGCAGCCTCAGGGGCCTCCTTCGGTGCGGAGTCCAGCACTCCATCCGCCACTGTGCCTGGTCCTCAGGCCACTGCAGGGCTTGGACGAGGGTCAGGTGGGGAAGGCACTTGCCTTGCCTTGGGTGCAAAATTTAAGGAGGTGCCCCAAACGCCAGTCATCAAGAACATAACAGTGCAATGTAATACTTAAAAGTGGAAATTAAGGCAAAACATCCACAGTAAGATTTCGAACAAAGACAGGCACCCACCCTGCTCTCACACAAACACCCCTATCCTGCCTCGCCCTAATCCTGGCCCCGGTTCCAAGGAAACCTTATTTACAAGAACAGACAGCCCACCCGCCTGTGGGCTGTAGTTTGCTGTTTGAGTTCTGAAAATGTTACATTACTATAGCGTTTATCTTGCTTTTTGCTCTGAGGTGAGCGCCCCACTCACCTCGCCCCGAGGACTGCAGGCAGCCTGGCTCCGAGTCTCAGAGCTGCCTTTCCTGGCTCTGCGATCTCAGAAGTCACTTAACCCTTCCTGTCCCAGCTGCCCTGCATCCCCCAGCTGATGGGGACAACGGACTCCAACACGCGTGGCTCTGGAATGACGTTCAGTTAAGGGCTCGGTTATTATCCCTGACTCCTCACTCTGACGCGCCGCCCGACCCCTCCGGCCCTGGCCCTTCCTTTCAGGCCCAGGCACGGCCCCTCTCTGGTCCCCACCCTGTTCCTCTACACAGTGCAGCGGTCGGACCCGCCTGGCGTCTGCGAAGATGTTACAGGACCCTGCCACCAACATCTCAAGATGCTGAACAGCAAGGACCCAAGTCCCCGAGCTGAGGCCGCAGGAGCCGACAGTTCACCTGTTGTCTCAGCCGGGCCTCGAGGCCTACGTGGCAACCGCTGCTCCTTGTGGCTGCTGCCAAGCTCTTGCTGGAAACCAGCTAAGGCTTTCATGAATTTAAAAAAAAAAAAAGGCTTCAGAAGGGGGGACCCGAATGAAGAAGGGGTCCTTGAAAGAGAGGAGGCTGGAGTCCCTCTCCTTAATGGCTGGAAGCCCTTTCCAACATTTTCATTTTTTAAAGATATCCTCACCCAAGGACATGCTTCCTGATTTTAGAGAGAGGGGAAAGAAGGGGGAAGAGAGGGAGGGAAACACTGAGGTGAGAGGGGAACAGTGATTGGTTGCCTCTCCTATGTGCCCTGACCGGGGACTGAACCCTCAGCCTTGTGGTTTATAGGACAAGGCTCCAACCAAGTGGCCAGGGCGAACGTTCTCACTTTAAATTGCTAACCACCAGAATGAACTGCCTCCCCCATGCTGGGCACTTGACGTATGATATTATTTCTCTTAATCTGCAGTACACCTCAATGGGGAGGGGGGGCTCTTAGCTCTTTTCGTTTTATTTTTTTTTATTGCATTTCCTTCCATTACCATTTAGTCCCCTTATACTCCCCCCATCCTGCACCCCCCCACGGCCGTCCATGCTCCATTTTACAGGTGAAGACACTGGGGGTGTGGCTGAATGACTCCCCCATGCTCTCCCACAGGAAGCAGGGGAGCCGGGACTCTGCCTGGACCTGCGGCTCCCAGGTCCGAGTTCTTCCCACTGGGCCGACCTATGAGCTGCATGGCCCGAGGCCTCCCATCTGAAATGAAGGGGGCAGGAGAAGAGCAGAGAGGTTCTGGGGACCTGGACCCCCAAACTCACCGCCCCTGGGGCTTCCGAGCCCCTGGGACGCCACTCAGGGCGGGCGCCCCCTTTCCTCCTCCATCAGAAGCAAGCAGGCCCTCCCCCAAACCTCTCTGGGACAGTGCTTTGCTCAGGAGAAGGTTTCTGCTCTGGTCTCTGCTGTGTGGCCTCGGGGGGCCTCTGTGACCCTGGGCTGCAGGCAGTCCTCCGCCTGTTCAAGGCGACTACCAGGTGGCCAGATGACGGCTGGGAGAGAATGGGACTTCCTGTGACTGCGGCTGGCTGGGCTGGGGGTTGGCGCTCTGGGCTGAGAGTCGGGGTGCCAGGGTTGGGCAGCCCCAGGATTTCTGCAAAGGAGGGGCTTAGAGTCAGTCACCCGGTTGAAAGGGAGGCTGGACGCTGTGTTTGTCAAGCATATTCCATGCAACATCCACGGTGGGGGAGTGGGGACAGGGGCTGGGGTGCGGACTCCCCCAGGAAGTCCTCGGCACTGCCTCTGCCCAGCTTTAAGCCCCGTCTCTACCCGTGTCTCCCTGGATGGCTTCCTACGGGTGCGTGTCTGCGGGTGAGGCTGCACGCTCTGCTGCGTAAGAACAACAAGTGGTGGCGGGGAGTCGCTTCGCAGGGCGGGTCGAGACTCATCCCCTGAGGGTGCCGCTTCTGGGCTACAGGCAGGTGGCAAGGAGACGGGAGGTGCTTTTCTCTCCAGGACTATGGCCTCCGGATGAAAGTTTTGG